GCAGAAGTGGGAGAGTTTAAAGTCTGATTGGAATAGTAATGTACCAATAGCTAATCTTATGTAGACGTGGGATCAAATAAAGGCTGATTGGGAAAGAATCAGACCACAGTTTTTTGCCGATGAATCATTCTAGAACAGGCTGAACCTTGAACGCAGTTGTGAAGGTTATTCAACCTTGTTTTATAAGGTTGTCCAGTAGTTTGATTGTTTTAAGTTTTTCATCTGGGACGACTATGCCAAGCTGCAAAACAACTTGAAGAGTCTTCCTTATCTTATTATAACGGCCCGGCCGGTCGTTTTGAGTATTACAACCCCGTTCTCCTATTTACTGCTCCGTTTGTGCTTTATAGCTGTTGTATGACTTATTGGGTTAGTTAGTTTGTGTCCTGAGAGAATTTAGAGTGAAATAAGATAATTAGTCTCTTAAATGGAAAGCTTAGTTGGAAAAGTCGATCGGATATTGATCTATGTATAAACGACCTCGGATTTGAATTCTGATAATTCCAGTAGCTCCGTATGATAATTTTGGACTTAGGACCGTGTCCGGAAATTTTTTTTGGAGGTCTGTAGTGGAATTAGGAAGTTTGACCGGGGGGTTGACTTTTTGATATCGGGGTCAAAATTCAATTTTGGAAATTTGAATAGCTTCAATATGTCAAATGTGACTTGTGTGCAAAATTTAAGGTCAATCGGACGTGATTTGGTAGGTTTCAGCGTTGTTTGTAGAATTTGAAAATTTTGAAATTTATTAGGTTTGGATCCGTGTATAGTTCGTATTTTTGAAGTTGTTTGAGGTGATTTGAGAGTTCAACTAAGTTCGTATTGGTATATAAGATCTGTTGGTATGTTTGGTTGAGGTCCCGGGGACCTCGAGTTGATTTAGGGTGGTTAACGGACAAAGGTTCGAAGTTGAAGAATTGCTGAGGATTTGCTGGTTCTGGTGTGATTGCACCTGCGGAAAAGGGCTCACAGGTGTGATGGTCACAGAAGCGACATTATACATGCAAAAGCGAGGGTCTTCAAAGGTACGGTGCCTGTTGCGCAAAAGCGCGAGCGCAGGTGCGGTCCTAGGCATCACAGAAGCGATCTAGGGTGGCCAAGCTATTCTCGCAGAAGCGAGTTGTTTTCCGTAGAAGCGAGGGTCGCAAGTGCGACCTCTTGACCGCATATGCGAAAGTGCTGGGCGGAATCCTTTAAGTTCAAGGGTTCGACATTTTCACCCATTTTCGGATTTTGGAGCTTGGTTTGGGCAATTTTGGAGAAGCATTTTCCCACACAACTTGGGGTAAGTGTTCTTGACTCCCTTGTCAGTATATTTCATGAATTAATCTTCATTTTTTGGTGTAAGATTATCGAATCTTCAAGAGAAATCGAAGGAAATTCCTATAATTTCATAAAATGATTTTTTGGTTTTTGAACATCGATTTGGAGTCGGAATTGAGCGAAATTAGTATGGTTGAACTTGTAATTAGATGGGTTGTCGGATTTTGTGAGTTTCGTTGGATTCCGAGACGTGATTTTGAATTTTTTGGGAAAATATTAGTATTTTGATATGAAATTAATTCCTATAAATTGTATGGACTGAATCAAATTTATGATGGCTAGATTCGAGCCTTTCATGAGTTGATACGCACAGAATGGGATTTCTGGAGCATTGTTTAGCTTGATCGGCATTGGATTCGTCTTGTTCGAGGTAAGTAACTCTTCTAATCTCGGAGCTGAGGGTATGAACCCTGAATATACGTATTATGTGAATTGTTTGAAGGCAACACACATGCTAGGTGACGTGCATGTGGGCGTACACAATAGAAATTATGACGTAATTGGTTTCGTGGGACTTTGTAGTCATAATCTTGGCATTTTCTATGTAGTTTTATGTGTTAAAGAAATTGAGCTGAGAATCATATTAAAATCATGTGAGGCTATATGCCAGTATTATTGAGACCCGCAGAGGTCATATTGCTGTGAATTATTTGTTTAAATTGAAATTTCATATTCATGTTATTACATATCATATCTCAGTCTATGTTGTTATTTACTGATACATCATATCATCATTTTCTAGCTATTATCATGACATTGTAAGCCCATTAGAGAGAGACCAGAGAGATTGATGACTGAGTGAGGCCGAAGGCCTGATTGTGAGGATAATTATGGGATCGGGCAGCACGCCGTAGCAGGCCATATTGGCTTTATATACTTTATTATTATGTGGATCGGGTCTGCCCGCGTGCAGCATGCCTTATAGGCTTTATTATAGCACGTGAGTTATCTGTGTGGATATAAATATTGATACTATAGCACGTGACTTGTCCGTGCAGATTATAGCGCTTGGGCTGAAGGAGCCCCTCCGGAGTCTGTACACACCCCCAGTGAGTGCAGGTACCTACTGAGTGCGAGTGCCGGGTGCCGAGCGATTGGGAGGACTGAGTGACTGTGAGGACTGAGTGACTGGGAGGACTGAGTGATTTGGAGGACTGAGTGAAATGATACTCTGAGAGTATGCATATAATTTTATCACTAAGTTGCATCGCATTGACATGCACACATGACATACAGGCATAGAGATGTACTTTCCTCATGCTGTACAATATCACACCATTCATAATTTCTCACACATGTTGATAGATGGGCATAGTGATGCATTTGTTTTATACGGGTTATATGGAAGGAAAATGAAACATCTCATTTATTATTGAAAGGACTTTGAAAAAATTATTGTTTTCAAACTTATTCATACTTTTGGCAACTTCGATAAACGATTTGGGTTTTCACTGATGTACTTGAAAGGAAGAACTATTTTTTTAAATCATGATTTAGCTGAGCATTTTATCTCTGAGTTACTTCTTGTATGATTTGCTTTACGTTATTATGGACTGTTGTGGACTATTGGTTTTGAACCCGACCTTGGTATAAGCTCGTCACTACTTTCAACCTAAGGTTAGGTTTGTTACTTATTGAGTACATGGGGTCGGTTGTACTCATACTACATGTCTGCACCTTGCGTGCAGGTGTTGACTGCTGATGTTGCTGTATTCGTTGGGAGTTGGATCTGAAGATGTACCTGTATTCCGGTTGTAGCTGCCTCTTGTTCATGGTAACCTTAGATTTATAACAATCTGTTCATGTACATTTCGAACAGATGATGTATTATTTCATACCAGTTTTATAAATTCTATTATTAGAAGCTCATGATTTGTACTACCAGTTCTTGAGAAAATGTGTTATTTTTATTTATTTATTTTAATTAATTGCCTTATTAATTTTATTGGAATTGGATAGTTGGTAATTGGCTTACCTAGCGGGTTGGGTTAGGTGCCATCATGACTAGTTGGATTTTGGGTCGTGACACTTATGGACAGAGTAATAATTGAACAAAGTCAGTTGCGTGATGAATTCAACAAGTTGAAGTGTGATCTCATTGGACTTTGTGGTCTTTTTCCCGAGTATCCTATAGTTATCTCTGATTCGGATGATGATGATATATATCGAGAAATTGAAGATTACTGTTCTGATGATGGTGATGATGCTTAGTTTTAGTAATCCTTTTTGAAATTTTTTTCTTTTGTGTTTTTTGTTAATATTTTTTATGGCTCTTCTTTTTTATTTTGTCAATGTTTTGATGATGGTCGTGTTTTGTTAATGTTTATGTTGTTATATAAATAAAAATCTTGTTACGTTTTTTTGTATAATATTTTTAAATTTTGAAGGCTGTATTATGATTTTAATATAATAACATAGTATGTCAACATAAAACTTCATGCCTTATAAGCGGAAGTTAGCAAATATAAGTTAGAAACTTGAACCTTTTTGATCTGAAGTTTATAGCTTTTGATAGTCACACTTTATAGGCTGTAGTTGATTTGCATACATTTTTCCATTAATAAGCAATCTTTTAAGAGGCAGACTTATATATACGGAAATCTTTTTGTTCATTTCATAAAACTTCACACAAAACATGCTTAAGTTTTGTCCAGCAGTCTGCAATTTTTGTAATGATTTTTTCCAAACTTCAGAGAGAATATGCTGAAGTTATTTAGTTCATTTTCTACAACTTCAGTTTAAATATGCTGAAGTTTTGTTATACATATATTTTTTTTTGGTGTGTGTGTGTGTGTTAGAGATATGTATTTCACTTACAGTTTTTGTCACTGAAGTCATTGCGTACTTTTTTTAAAATGCAACCAAACCTCTAAGCCGCGCAATAAAAATGAGTGGTTAGTACTTCAAGCAATATATAAAATAGTATTTTTCAATCCAAGAGCTTATTTATTTTATTTCTACGAAAACAATCACATTTCACATATATCATTCAATAATGAAAGTATAAATTTAGACCAAGGATTATTGAACGTTAGAGTATTTTTCAGCGTGTTTCTTGGAATATGGATGAGGTGGTGGAGAAGACAAGCAAGTTGTTATGTTATGCCCAATTTGTTTACAGCGACTGCATTTGGTAGACTTCAATGGTACTGATTCAGTCGCAGGGATATGCCTCTTCTTTTGTCTTCTTCCTTGTAAAATCTCTACATCGGGAGGTTTTGTGATTTCAGATTCTACATTTTATGGAATATCCCATGCATTTTGATCTGCCACAGTATTCACATGTCCTTCATATGTTTTGAACCATGTTTCCCTTGAATACCATTTTGAGCAGCAATCAGATTTCTGCAAATAGCTCTTATTAATAGCAGCAATTGCGTGTGGACAGGGCAATTCATCAAGTTGGAATTTCAAGCAGTCAGAAGTTCTCTTCCTTAAATCTAACATTCTTAAAATAGGCATCTCTCTCGCTTTTAGTAACACGGAATTCATTGATTTTACCATGTTTGTTGTCAGCATATCATAACGTCGCCATGGGAACCACAATCGAGCCCATCTCTCTGGCGGCTCTTCCATTATGTAATTGTATATTTTCTTGTCAACACTTTTGATTTGGGACATTAACTGATTCAAATCTTCACGTTTGTATGACCTTGCAATGCTTTAAAAAATATTTATTACCGTGGTTTTTGCTTTAAATTTTTCTCAAAGTGATAGAGGCAGATACCATGGTGAGCTTCAGGATAAAATTTTCTAATTCCATTTGCGATCGATTGGTTTCTATCTGATAAGAAAACCAGTTCACGACGGACTTGAATTGCTTTTCTCATTTCCCCGAAGAACCAAATGTATGCATCATTGTTTTCTGAATTTGCTACACCAAAAGATAGAGGAAAGATTTGATTGTTTGCATCCTTTGATACAGCAACAAATAGAACGCCACGATATTTTGACTTTAAAAACATTGCATCTACTGCAATCACGGGTCTACAGTAGCACCAACCAACTATTGATGCCGCAGGAGAAAAGAACATATAAGCAAATCTGTACAGTGAAACACAAGAAAACAAATCATAAGGTGTGAAGTTTTTCAAATAGGAACATTTGAAATTTCAGGCTGATGATTAGTATTGTTTTGCTTACCGATTTTGCTCATCTCTTTTTATGCTAGTGTACGTCCCTAGGTTTCTATGCACAATCATGTGTATGTATGAAGGAAGAATCTGGTAGTTCTCTTCTGGTTTTCCCCTTATGGAAGCAATAGCTTTTTGAATAGCACGCCATGCCTTGTGATATCCAATGTCAATTCCAAATTTCTTTTTCATTTTACTTTCTACAAAGGTTGGTGTAACCTCAATCTTTTTATCTCGAACATGTTCTAAAATTTGTTCACTTATAAAATTTGAATTAGCATGCTTCTGATCTGATTTTCTTGCATCAACCGAGCATTCATGGTTGTTATGATATTTTATCACCCTAAAAAGTGAGGATATTTTTATTTTGGTAGCACGTACATTCCAACTCCATTTCTCCACGATGTATTTCAGCTCGTATCTCTTTGAATATGATCTAGCAATAGTGAATTTGACTTTTTGGTTTATCTCACAGCTGCAGAAAAATTTAGTCATGTTCTTCTTGTTGTCAAAATCCGATCCTACTCTTACTTCCTCTGGCAACGCATCGTGCCTAAGTATTTTACATGGTGGAGATTCTTTTAGCTTTCTCCTCACTCTTTTTCTTGATTTCTTAGAAGCAGTAGAAGTTTCAGCAATTTTTTCAATTGTATCTGATATTATCGGTACAAATTCCATGTTTTCTTCATCTTCGTTATTGCTTGTCATTGCAGAAGGTAACAAAAACCTTTGTTGGATCGTGTGTTGGTTGTCTATTTGCATTATTAGCTGTCCTTCTTCTTCTTGGTCGTCAACAAACTGGTATGAATTTATTGTAGCAGGAGGTAATTGTTGCAGCATTCCATATTGTGAAGCAGCCGTAATGTTAGAAGGTTGTTGTTCGTTGTCTACTTTCATTATTGGTTGTTATAGTTCATGTTGATAATCAGCAAATTGTTCTGAATCTATTGTATATGCAAGAGATGGTTTGAATGTTGCAGATTATGAAGTAGCTATACTTTCAGAAATGAGTTGTATTTTTTCGACGACAAAATGGCAATTCTTGTAGGCTGAATCAGTTGTTAGCAAATGTATACATGTTCTGAGTTCTTCATCTGAAGTTACAAGCATCACTTTGCTTGTATTTAGTTTGATATCAAACCATATCTTTAGTGAATATTTGGTTGAATCAATATCTGTAACTTCACTAATTTTCTTTTGGAAAGTATTGAATGATACTTGTTTATTAAGCATAACAAGTTTTGTATCATGATCCAAGTATTTGAAATCAAAAGTTCACCTCTCATTGAAAGTAATAACAATGCAAATCGAACTCATCCTGCAGAAGCATGTTTAGTGTCAAGTATTAGGAAACTGAACAAAAGAATTTAAGTGTGAAGTTCATAAAAAATTCATTAGAAAATTATATACTGCAGGAGAAAAACTTAAGCATGTTTAAGCTAAAGTTTTAGCAAATGTACTAGAATACTTCAGCTTGTTTATACTGATGTTTTCGAAAAAAAGCTCATGAAAAAGCTGTTTAATGCAGGACAAAACTTAATCTTGAACTAAATTTAACTTCAGAATGTAGGAGAAAATTACATATTGCAGGAGGAAAACTTCAGCAGGTTTGTCCTGAAGTTTTTACAAATGAACTAAACAACTTCAACATCTTCTGCTGAAGTTTCTGAAAAACTCATAACAAAACTATTGAATCCAGGACAAAACTTCAGCATATTTAATGCTGAAATATTAGCAAATGAACTAGAAAATTTTAGCTTGTTTATACTGCAAGATAAAGACTTCAGCATTTTGGTGTGAAGGTTTAGCAAATTATGTAAAAACTCAGCTAGTTAAATTCACTAGAAAATTACATAGTGCAGGAGGAAAATTTTAGCAGGTTGTCCTGAAGTTTTTACAAATGAACTAAACAACTTCAGCATCTTCTGCTGAAATTTCGGAAAAAGCTCATGACAAAATTATTGAATCCAGGACAAAACTTCAGCATATTTTAGTGCTGAAGTATTAGCAAATGAACTAAAAACTTCAGCTTGTTTATACTACAAGACAAAGACTTCAGCGTGGTGTGAAGGTTTAGCAAATTATGTAAAAACTCAGCTAGTTAAATTCACTAAAAAATTACATAGTGCAGGAGGAAAACTTCAGCAGGTTTGTCCTGAAGTTTTTACAAATGAACTAAACAACTTCAATATCTTCTGCTGAAGTTTCGGAAAAAGCTCATGACAAAACTATTGAATCCAGGACAAAAGTGCTGAAGTATTAGCAAATGAACTAAAAAACTTCAGCTTGTTTATACTGCAAGACAAATACTTCAGCGTTTTGGTGTGAAGGTTTAACAAATTATGTAAAAACTCAGCTTGTTTAGTATCATGTTCTAGCAAACAAACCAAAAGCTTTAGCATGTTTGTCCTCATGACAAAGCTGTTGAATGCCTATGTGTCCTGCATTAAATAGTATCCAGAAACAAATTTATTCTATAACTTCATGCAAGTGTGATTAAAATATATGGGTTGATTGAATTAAAACTTCAAAAACTAATTTGAATTCTGAAGATGATTTGCAATACTTACAATATATTTTGTAATTTGTAATTTGGAATTTGAATCTGGTTCAACTTTCTGATTTCGTGATTATGGCAAATGCGAGAGAAGATCTGTCACGACCCAAAAATTCCCACCGACGGGACCGTGATGGTGCCTAACATTTCACTTTCTAGGCAAGCCAACGTTAGAGAATCATTAAACCAATTCCTTATTCCCATTCAGTAATTAACAATAATTAACTAAGATGAAATATAATAACTGCGGAATATCATAAAACTGTATTAATTACTACCACCCGGATATGGAGTCACAATTCACGAGCATTCTAGAATTTACTACAAGTAATAGTCTGAAAGAAATACAATTGTCTAAATAAAAGAAACAGTAGAACAGAAAAGATAGACAGGGACTTCAAGGTCTGTGAACGCCGACAGATCTACCTTGAGTCTCCGAACAGCACACCAATAGCAAAATCTCGATCAACCCGAGCTGGTATCAAAATCTGCACAGAAAGTGCAGAGTGCAGTATCAGTACAACGACCCCATGTACTGGTAAGTGTCAAGCGTAGCCTCGATGAAGTAGTGACTAGGCTAAGGCAAGGCACCTACAAATCAACCTGTACAATTTAATAGTGTACATATAAATAACAGAAATGAACACTGTCTCCCAGCACTTAACATAATCCAAAAATGGGATTTTAGCCAAAAATTCATTTTCTCAAAAACCAAACGGTGAGAGGCAATTTTTCAAGAGCCATTTCTTTCCCAAATTGTTGGTAAGTGATTCTAAACCATTTTCTTTCAATTACCCATTACATTTCTTGAATTTTCAACCTAAAATCTAGAGTTTTCATGGTAGAATTAGGGGTTAGGGTAGAAACTAGGGATTTCGGGAATTTGGGGATTTAGACCTCAATTTGAGGTCGGATTCCAAAACCAATTATATATTCGGGCTCGGGGATGAATGGGTAAAAGAATTTTGGTCCGAACCTTGGGTTTTGACCAAGCGGGCCCGGGGTCGATATTTTGACTTTTTGGAGGAAAAATTTGGGAAATTTAATTTATGAAATATAATTAATTCTTTTAGCAATATTTGATATTATTGAGTCATTTTTGAATAGATACGAGTGGTTTGGAGGTGAATTGCAAAGGAAAAGCTGTGATTGAGAATTAAGTGGCCTTCGGAGCAAGGTAAGTGTTGTGTCTAACTTTGGCTTGAGGGAATAGGTATTGTGTAAGTATTTTGCTGTTGAATACAATGTATAGTTGAGGTGACGAGCATCTATGCGTTGTAGTCGAGTCATAGCATGCGAGTGAAATTCCATTCTTGCAAATTTGTAGTCTTAAATCTTGGTATCCATGCTTATTATTATTGTTGAAATGTTGGGAGACTTGTATCCGGTTCCATCATGGTTGATAAAATTGTGAATATTGATTCGAGGTTGAGATGTTACATTGTGAAAGTAATCATTGATGAAATATTGATTTCTTTGTGAAACTTCTCTCTATCCATTGTTATTGATTCTGGGAATTGTGAGGAAGAGTGTAAAGCACGAAGGGTGATGCCATGCATGATTTATTTATATTGTGAGGAAGAGTGTAAAGCACGAAGGGTGATGCCGTGCATGATTTATTTATGTGGTGAGGAAGAGTGTAAAGCACGAAGGGTGATGTCGTGCATGAATTATTTATATTGTGAGGAAGAGTGTAAAAGCACGAAGGGTGATGCCGTGCAGTCTTATTTATTATTTTGTGAGGTTGAGACTAAAAGCATGAAGGGTGATGCCGTGCAGGTTTCCTTGCTGTTTTAATTGCTCAATTCGTTTAAGGATTTTTGGTTTAATTCTGTCTTTTCATTATTCTCACTCTTTATGTTGTATTCCCCCACTGTATGTTCCCTTCCCATTATTTCCATGTTATTTCTTTATTTACTATTGGTGCCACTAGCAGGATTATATTGTTCATGTTATATGTGGGTGTCTTGTCCTAGCCTCCTTACTACTTCGCCGAGGTTAGGCTCGACACTTACCAGTACATGGGGTCGGTTGTACTGATGTTGCACTCTACAGTTTCTGTGCAGATTTTGATACCAGCTCAGGTTGATCGAGATTTTCTATTTGTCCGATATCCGTAGACTCAAGGTAGATCTGTCAGCGTTCACAGACCTTGATGTCCCCGTATATCTTTTATGTCCTACTATTTTCTTTCATCCAGACAGTTGTATTTCTTTCAGACTATTTCTTATAGTAAATTCTAGAATGCTCGTGAATTGTGACTCAGGATCCGGGTGGTAGTAATTAATACAGTTTTATGATATTTCGCACTTATTATATTTCATCTTAGTTAATTATTGTTATTTACTGAATGGAAATAAGGAATTGGTTTAACGATTTTTCTAACGTTGGCTTGCCTAGCAAGCGAAATGTTAGGCGCCATCACAGTCCCGTTGGTGAAAAATTTCGGGTCGTGACAGTTGGTATCGTGATGACCCAAAAGCTCATCTTATGTTTTAGAACTCGAATCTTCGCTCTTAATTAAAAATCTCATTTTTACCCTCCTCGATTTGCGTGCCCAGTCCGGGCAGGTTTCCGAAAAGCTTTTATGTTGAAAATAAGAATTTATGCCTTAAAAGTTAATTTTAGTTGACTTTGGTCAATATATTTGGTAAACGGGCACGGATCCGTATTTTGTTAGTCTCGGTAGGTCCGTATCGAATTATGGGACCTGGGCGTATGCCCGGAATCGAATTCAGAGGTCTCTAGCTCAAGTTATGAATTTTTGATAAAAATTAAAAGTCTAAAAATTAATTATTTTTAAAAATTGGTTGATGTTTGGCATTGTTAGTGCCAGGTTCATATTCTGGTTCCGGAGCCCGGTACAGGATTATTATGATATTTAAGACTTGTCTGTGAAATTTAGTGAGAAACGGAGTTGGTTTGACGTGACTCGGAGGTCCAGTTGAGAAAATAGAAATTTTAAAGTGTTCTTGTGAATTTTATTTAATTTGGTGCTAAATTCATAGTTCTAGGTGTTATTTTGGCGATTTGATCGTGCGAGCAGGTTCGTATGATGTTTTTAGACTTGTGTGCATATTTGGTTTCGAGCCCCGAGGGCTCGGGTGAGTTTCGGATAGGCCACAGGATGTTTTGGACTTTGGAAATATGGTATTTTGCTGCAGCAGGTGTTCTGGCATGTCCTTCTTCGCGTTCGCGAAGGTACTCTCGCGAACGCGAAGAGTAAACTGGGCAGCAGAAGATTTCTTCTTCGCGAACATGAAGGCTTGGTCACGAACGTGAAGCGATGTGGGCGTTACCCTTCGCGAACGCGTAGTGTTAGGCATTGGGGAGGGGGAGT